AAATTGTAACTAAACTCAGTTATTTAATAATGCAGTCAGAAGTAGATGCTCTAACTAAATGTATGCTTTTTAAAGTACTGTTTCAGTTCCACGTTTTGCTTGCATGGTGGTATAATGGAACTTGATGTATGGATTACACTAACTATATTTTGTGTTATTAGGATACACCTATAATGCGTTATATTTGAAATTCTATTGTAAATTCCTGATTTCATGTCCAAACATATTCATGCAAATATCTCATTGTCTTCAGCATCCAAACACCGTCTTTTGCTTTTCCTAAACCAGTGGCAAACTCAAGCCAAGGTAGTCTGTTTCTAAGACAGAAACCTAATAGTTTCTGACAGGGTGTGTGATTTCCTTGAAGGCATTTAGATATGGCCCAGGTGTACTAAGAGCTAAAGACAGGATTCAATAAGCAATGCCTCAGCAGGCCTGAGCACCTGGTGGTCCCTGGCACCCTCTGACAGACTGTAATCATTTGTGATAGCCACGGTACGCTTGCTGGCCTCCCAGCAGCACGTTTCACTCAGGCTTTTAGATGGACATCAAAATGCATTGCCTCTAAAGCAGTAGATGGAGGGCTGGATGTGTGAAGCCAAGGTGGAAATAAAGACATTAACTCTGTCTGCAGACCAAGGTTGCTGAACTGCAGTGAGCGGCATCAGAGCCTGTTAGACATGTATTGTATATCAAGGACCATTAATGCACTAAAGTACAGGAAATCAGTCATTGTTACAGCTTAGTTTTCAGTCTGTTGATTTGAAATATGTATCTAAAACCTATAAAGTCTATACTATAGGATGGAGCTGATATTGGGAATAATGTTCAAGGACTACAGTCTGGCAGAAGTCAAAGAAGTTTTCTTCTTTTTCTGTCTGTAACCTCTAACTACTACTGTTTCTCCTTACGATTGAGTGAAAACTACACAGTGGATGTTTTCAGGTTCTGTGCATGTTGCGCTGCAGCATGGTAAATATGGCCTTAATGAATTGGCAGTGGGGGGCTCGGCTGTTTGATGAGCAGGCTCTCCTGCTCCACCATGATCAAATGAGAGCCTAATTTGGTTTTCCCTCTTGACCTCTATTCCTCTGTCAACAACAAAGCACAGGGGATTTTTTCAGAGGCTTGTGCAGAAGATGACACATTCTTAGGTGTGTGAAGAAAGAGGATAATGATGAGATTTTGCTCATGAGGACATAAAGTATATTATACACTCTCTCCATGTGTGGAAGTGGAGGTGGCAGGAAGCGGTGTGTTTGAGGTGTCAGCCTTGTCCTAAACTTTGAGTAAAATCTATTTTAGTGATTATACTGCATTATTATTATTATTGCTGTTATACTCAGTCATACAAGGTAAATGAGTTATGCCCAAACAGTTATTTTAAATGACAGCTGAAAGAAAGCACAAGGTTTTTAAGGAGGTGGTGGACAGGAATACATTTGATAGTTTTGCTGGACCTGTTATAAACCCGTCTTATGATTTGAGTCCTTCAATGTGGCAGTAGCAGGGACCACTTCAGTAGAAACCAGCAGACCACAGTGTCACCCTAAAGGAAAATACACAGCAGGTGTCTAGACCAACAGCAACAACCTCATGTGCTGACTATACCGGAACCACAGACCATGTGTCTGATGTCAATGGAGTGAAAGATGTTTGTTTTTTAACAGGAATTGTTAACTCTACATGCACATTTTTTCTCACCATACTGCATTTTGCATTATTCCTCTACATTTTATTTGTTACAAAATTGTTTCTTATCAGCATGTTAACCAGTCCCAAAGTGGCCTTTTGTTATTACTTTAGTGTCGTCCATGGGAATGGAAATCAGTTTTAATATAAATAACTTTATTTTGCCTAGGAAATGTCAGGTAAAACTGAAGGCTATTTACAGCATTGTTGTATTCCAGATCTCTATCTGCACACACATGTACCTTGTAGAGACGCTGTACATTCACAGCCTCCTACGCTGAGCGCTTCCCCCGGAGCTGTTGGGACCACACTAAAGGGCAACTCAAGAATAGTTGTTAAGGGAATGACAGCTCATAACTCATTTACCTTCACCACTCAGAGTTTATTGACTGGTTTGAGAATTCAAAGCAGAAACCCCCTGGTCACAAGCTGCTTCTCTAACATTATGAAGCAATAAAGCCCTGAGACATTGTCATCTCTGCAGAGAATAAGAAAGAAACTAGGTGGTACAGTATTACAAAACGAAGAGTTTTGAGTGTAGAAATCCATAATCGGTAAGTAGAGACTCCACTTTCCTGGCTCACATTTGCTTTTTTTTTTTTTTTAAATAAAGAATTAGTTACAATAAAATAATGCACGTACTATTAAACTGCCAAAGCCGTGGTGTTTTTGCATTTATACATATACATATACAGTGTGATAAATGTGCTACCCGATTCTAAGCTGTTCTGTGCTGTGGTAAGCAATCTAAACCTTTAAGCTATTTTTAGAGCCGGCTCTTATATAATACATGAGGCACATATCTATAAGACGTCTCTTAGTTACATTTTCTTCAGTTAGTTTTGCTAAAAGGGAATGTGTGGATCTTGCAGATATTGTTCTGATGTACAGTATATTTTGTTAAAGTCAGGGAGTAACCCGGGGACTGAAGGTGCTGACAACTCAGCAGTGCTGTGAGACAAATACGTTCATGACACCCGCCGTGCTGGTGTAGCATTCTGTTCTCCAGACCTTGCTGCTTTTCTCCCCTTCATCCATCTATGCAGAGGTAGATACACAGAGCACAGCCACATTTGTCAGTGCCCATCAGAAGTGGATACATTCTCATTACATGCCTGCTGACCCTTGTAAAGACTGAAACAAACTCTGGGGCTATTGCAAGAAAATGTCACAAAGGATAAAATGTGGCCTCCCTCCTGAGCAAGATGAACAGAGGTATTACATCAATACTTTACAGTTTATCACATCAAACCGCTTATTGTGTTGTTGTGTGACATTTGCATTTATTTCAGACACTGGAGATCTTGGAACCAATACCTGTCAAAATGGATGTGCTTTGCAAGATAACAAAAAGGAAATGCAGGAGAAAAGGCTAAAAAGAAGGTGATGAGTCAATGACAGAGGGAAGCAGAAAGCAATCAGGAGAGAATATTTGATTTCTTGGCTTGTTAATAAGACATGGAAGGTCAAAATAATGCAAAGAACAGGACACATTAAAAGTGATTTATCTTGTAGTGCCCCTGTAGTTTTGGGACTAGTGCTACTTTAAATACAGAAACTGGTAGAGGTTATGTGAGCTTTTCAAAACAAGCTTTAAAACTTGGCTTCACAATCCATGGTTGATTTTAGGAGCTGTCAGTAGTTGAAATAAGCAATCAGTAAATCAGTATTGGATAATGTATAATAGAACAGCCAAATGTGCATGGATATCTTGGTTAAATATTACTTGAAAACACTCATGTATTGCTCATCATTTAATAAATTGCATCAAATTTGTGCACAGAGGAGACTTTCCCTGATGTAGAGCACTTGGTCTTGATCATGAGTAGTCGAACTCTACAGCCATTCTGATTACTGGTTCTGTTTAAAAAAAAAAAAAAAAAAAAAAAGTCTAAAGCTGACAGGATAAGCACATGTGCACCTACAGTACGTACCCCAAAATAAGCAAAGCAGTAAAGAAGACAAAGAAAAGCAGAAAATAAAGACAGACAAGATACTGTAGCTAATCACAGAGAACCCTCCCCTTCAGCTAAAGTGTTGAAGGAAATCCTAACATACCAGATGGGAATGTCATTCATTTTGGACAAATTGAAGTTTTGACCTGGTGGCGGTGCTAGTTAAGAAGTTGAGATCACCACGTTTATTGTAAATAATCCCAAGGGTAGACATGAACGAGTGAACCTAAATTTGCAATAATCCATTTAATATTTGATGGCAAATTTTACTAAACACCACAAATGTAAACCTCATGGTGCTGCTACAGAAGAATAAGGGGGTAATCGAATCAATCCTCTGGGGAGCATGAATGTTGGTGCAAAATTTAATGACAATCCTCAGCAGCTGTAGAGAGATTTCATTTTGGATCAGAGTGGTGGACAGACTGATGCTGCAGTCATACAGGCTAAAATGTTAGCATTTGCCCAGGATGAAAGACATTTAGACCAACATGACTTCATGTTTCATGTTACTGAGATAGGCAGATGTGAAATCCTATTTCTTGTGTTCATAATGACAACACAGTGTTTCCTTTTAGCCTCAAACATTTGAAACCCCACCTTGCTGGGACATGACTATAATGCCAATTTATTTTGAGTGATTTATTGATGTGTTAAATCAGGTGGAAGCTCACATATTGGCATCAGTTAACTTTTGTGCACCAGGAAAATAAAGAGCAAAGCAGTCACCAACCAGCTAATGAATTCAACACTTGCATGTGACAAAAGGCTTGTTTAATTAGTCACCTAGACAACCGTTAAACATGCTTTATTAATTCCTTTGTGTCTGTGTGTGTTCCTGTCTTGCTTAAGGCACTTGAGTGATCACACACACGCACAGCTATGTCTATAGTTGTGAGGACATTCATTGTCATAACGCATTTCATGGCATTTTACTCCAAATTTAACCATCACAACTACCCCCAGCCCTTAACCCCAACCTAATTTAAATCTAATTCTAACCAGAACCCTAAAACCAAGTGTAAACCTTCAAAAAGCGTTTTGAAGTTGTGAGGACCGGTGTTCTGTGCGGCCGTGCCAGTCTGTAACCCTAAAAAAAATGTGCGTTTGCGCATACACACAACTCCATAGGTAGCACAACTCGACAGAATACGGCTAAAATTCCCAAAATGTCCTCATAACAATGGCATCTAAAATGGTCAACGCAATAGACATGCGCACGCGCGCAGACACACACACACACACACACACACACACACACACACACACACACACTCGGGTTCAGTCCAAGTAGGCTATGTCAAACGTGTTAGGAATGTTTGTTTGTTGGTTCAGATTCTTCAACTAGTCGGTCTGTAAATAGCTGCGCCCTTGGAGACAGCCATACACCGCTCATTCCTCCCTTGGCAAGTTCCCCGAACCCATCCTGTTCAGTTTAGACAGCGGCACATAGTGCGCAGTTCCCTTAGACCGAGTGCACAGCACATCCCAGTCAGTCCTCCTCCTCCCTCTCTTTCATTCACACCAGGATGGATCGACCCTCCTAGCAGAGCAGAAGTCCACTACAGTACTTGGCAAGTGGGTTTTTTATTTAGGAGTGGAGCAGGAGCTAAAACACACGTTTCGTTTGACAAGATTTCCGTCATCTCTGCGCATCAACTTGACTGTCGCAAACCTACATGATGACAGTAACCGGGCTACATTCACGCGTTACGCTTCTGCTCTGCTTCATCTCCACCGCAGCGTGCAATACGTTTGCGTTCACCGAGGAGCCCTCCGAGAGAGCCGGGAAGGCGGACGGCTACTGTAGTCGGATAATACGGGCTCAGAGCAATCGGAAGGAGGGCAACAACGAATTTCGCCTCCGCGTTGAGGGAGACCCGGAGAGCTATCAGCCAGGGAGCACATATAGAGGTTGGTGCTTGTCCGCGAGATTTACGCGCTGTGCGTTCTTGGTTGGCACTGTGTGCGCAATGTGAAATAAACACTGATAAAAAAAAATGTGAACAAGTTTCTACAGTCTGTTTTTAATGCATCGCTATATGCCCCGAAAATAAACTATAGTTGGTGAAGGAGGAGGTGACCCTGAGGCGGTCTAACTTTACTTTTAACCTAATTTGAACACCCATGGGTAAATAGAATTCCTTACTGTATTTATGTATTTTCGATCAGACATTTCAAATGATTTTTAAAGCCAAATCCTTTTGCTAAAGCTTGCGTGGTTTTTGGTATTTTCTTCCATATTTAGAAGCAGCAGTGGCACTGCTTTTTTTTTCTAAAAAGAAAGTTAGCGGGTGCAGTAAATGGGTATGTGCCATGTTAATCTCAGAGAACTGTATCATGATGGTCCCAGCAGTAGGTTGCACTACATTCTGTTCTTTTTAATCACAGTTTTATATCATCCACATATAACTGAATTACCTTGAAGTGGGGAGTTGGAAATCAGTTTTTTTTTAATTAAAACTTATCTCCTACACTGGAAATTAGTCATTTTAAAGTCTAAAAGTCATTTCTCAAGAGTCTGATAAAATTGTCAGGTAGGTGCAGCAAATCGAAATTCCTCCTAAGTAAATCACCATTTTTATACGATGTGCTACATTGCAAAACAAAAAAACCCAACAGCAACAACAAAACCTCATAAACATCTTATCTACTACTATTAGCGTGAGAATATGCCACAAAAATATTATCTGAGCATTCAAGGTGAAATCAGCTGAAACATTTAATTGTGGAAAAAATTCCAGTTATCAGAATATTTGACCCTTTATCCATTGGAGCTCAACCAAGTGGAGTAAAGTACCACAATTTTCTAAATGCATCAGCACTTGGGCATGTAGCTAATGAAGCCCGCTTCAGTATTCTGTTTGGGGGTTGTTCTTCAGCTTTTTTTCTCTGATGTGTACTCTCTCTATTGTTTGCTTCCATCTAGTGACTGTGATTGCATCCAGCCCCTCTTACTTCAGAGGGTTCACCCTTATTGCCCTGAAGGAGGGTGCAGAAGGAGACAAGGACGAGGACTACGCTGGAAATTTCCAGGTAGCTACAGATATGATTGATTGTTGGTATAGTAAGAAAATCATATACATGCCTCTTTTTCTCAATGATCGCAGTGCTATTACTTTACTTAGAAATTATTTACCCACCATCCACCCCTGTCTGCCACACCTGTTAAACCCAGGTCAGACTCAGGAGCCACAAAAGATGTGAGACCAGCTGAGTTAACCATACCTGGTGTGGTTAACTCAGCTTTACTGTAGTATCAATACCACCCTTCCTCTGGCACCAGCACTGTGCATGACATGGGTAAAAAGCAGGAAAAAAGAGCCAGATCTTACTGTAGATGGGGGGGGATGGGGGTCTTGACAGATTTTTCTCTGCACAGCTTTCCTGCCTTCACATGTCAAAGTGTGATTATTCTCACCTCACCTCTTCTAATAGGCTTGATATAGCATATGAAAAGAGCATACTCTCAGCTCGGCTTCATGTAGCTGCGCTGCCTCAGGCTCAGAATGAACAGGTGTGGAACCTGAGGGAATTGTGTTCGCACAAGCAGCCATACAGTTCATGGACAGTATATAGAAAGTGTACAGTTGGTGTAGTCAGGAGGATAATTAGCATTTTATACAGGTCAGACCAGTTGGAGTACAGTAGGAAGAAGGGAGTGGGGCCAAGAGTGCGACAGGAAGAGACAGGAGGCAAAGATTCTGGTGCTGTTACGCACATGTGATAATGGTGAGGTCTTTGTAGTTGTAATGCGACGCGAGGACTCGAGCGCTTGGGAGATGGAGAAGGTGTGTGAGTTCAGAGAGGAGGGGTAGTAATAATTTAATACAATGCTAAATTTCAAACTGTATAAGGTAATGTCTGTAGATTGCTTTACAACAAATTCACAGTGTAGAATGACATAAGGTGAAAATACAAGCATAACCTTTGAATCATTCCTCCTCACTGGTTCTCTTCTCTTTTGACTTGTAGCTGCCAGTGTTTGCTTCATCCAGTTCATTTCTGCATTTTCAAGAAATTCATAGAGCTTACAGTGAACAAGGTGATATTCTGTTTCCAAAGGATTTGACATTACTAATAAGAAAATTATAGGCACTCAGTTTTGACCTGAGTCAAATTCCCATTTCTGCCCATCATATTCTTTTGTAGAGCAGACCCTGTAAAGAAGCAGTTGTGAAATGGGTTTAAGAGCATGTATGGACTTTTCTTTTTCAGACTCTTGTGAACCTTTTGGTTTCAGTTGCTTCCCACATGAAGCCCTATTATTTTATTGAACCTGTAGTACAATACATGGCGAAGCCCTCGGGCTGCTCTGATCAGTTACTGCTATGCTGTAGCGTTCTTTGGGAACTTGAGCCTTGAATATGGGGGAACATAAAACACAGAAACATTTTATTTTTGTCCTGTGCGCACCTCACATCCCATTACCCAGTGTTAACACCGGCAAGGTTTATTTTGTTTTATTTGTCCTCGCAGTCGATTTCATGCTGGTGTTATTTAGTGCCAGCCTTGAGTATGCTCCTCAGCCATATGGTGGAGTGTCGTGTGCTGTGACAGGGTGCTAAATGTCAGGAGGAAAATAGGGAAATGCATCATTTAGGCTCGTTGAGTTACTTTGCTCCACACAAGGATGCGACTGAGTGTGGAGTGCGCAGTGTGTCATGGTTGTGATAGATTGATGTGTGACCACATTAAAACTTAAAAAACATGGATGTCATTACTAAGAACTTGCCATTGATTAGACTCCTGCTCCTTTTATGAAGTGGAAGGTCTCTGTTACAGCTGCAGATGGATCACCCTGTCTTGTTACATTTGTTACATCACCATGTGACAGGTCAATAAAAAAGAACTGCTGTCCAGAGAGAGATCCCTCTGTCGTCATCTGCTCAGTTACTCTTTCGTGTTTTATATCTTTTATGAAAACAAGCACACACACACACACACACACACAAACGCATCATTCCTCCACTCTGAGAGATCCCTCTTGGGGGGGGGGTTGCAGCCTTTAGGCACTGAGAGAAAAGAAGCTGCAAACAGAAGACGTCAGGCTTTATTTACCATACGGCGCATTTGAAGTCTGCTGTTGTTCCCTATCTGAGCTGTCTCTGGACAGTTCCTGATTTGATGAAAAACACCTTTATTGAGCTCTCTGGGGAGGTCAGCTGCCACTGTGTGTCTGTGTGTGTGCAAGTGCATTTTTTGGCAAATGCTGCTGGTAATGCTGGTGATGTCTGCTGAGACGGAGTTACTTCTCAGCAGGGTGAGATGATCAAACAAGAAAAGGCAAATTGATATGTCAGGGGTGAAATCAGTGCTACTTTCCGTGCAACATGACACGATCATAGCCACAGGCAAAACGGACATCATCTTCACATAATTCCACAAGGATGATCTGCTTTTAGGGCAACAAAGCTGTCCAGCATTTAACCTCTGTGCAGATGGTGAATTTACATTCACCCGTCTAAGCCCCACAGCCAGCACAGCACTCTGGTGCACAAATTCTTGCATACAGTCAGAAAAACAATGTAATTTTCCAGTAAAACGTGACACATTTTTCTTTTTACTAGTACTAGTGTCTATTGGTAAAAGATCTGAAAACTTGGAACTGGACACGCACTAGAAGAAATGGGTCATAGGTTATTTCATGGCAAATTACTTGCTTCTTTTTGCAGATGGTGTTTAATGCACTCCCTTGAGACTTCACTGGTTTTAACGTGTTGTAGTTCAGTCAGGCCAGCCTAGGATGCCTGTTAGAAACCATGGTAACATGGAGGGGGAGGTGGGGTTGTGGGGATATAAATTGTCAGATGGAGATAGGTGACCCTTCTCACTCTCTCCGCTGTTATTTGTCTCTCTCTCTCTCTTTCTCTCTCTCCACCAACGCCAATACACATGCATATCCACACATGGTCCATTTTCAAAGGGAGCTCATTCATAACTCAGCATGACAAAGGGAGTTCGCTGCTGACAGCTTTATGGAGTGAGAAAGTTGCCTGTCTTTACTATCCTGATGTCACTTCCTATCAAAGAAATCCTTGGTCTTCGGGCAGTGGATATTGGCTCACTGGCTGCAGCCTGCTCTTATAATAATCTGTCCAGTTAAAATCAATGAGGTGCTTAGTATCTCAGGTGTGCACCTGGGTAGAGAGAGAAGCTTGGATTTGGACTCTTTTGGACTTTTTTATGCTGCTTACAGTGATACTGTGGTGATATGGGCACCTGGGTGTTAACTTTCTGATCAATCTGACTATTGACAAATTCAGTTATTCTTGATGCACTTTATCTCAGACATCTACATGCACCTTCCAGCTCCAAGTAGATGCCAACTTGTGCCCACTACGCTGACATTGCAATATGGAAAGTGGTAGAAGAGTGCAATGTGTTACCCTTTTATTACATAAGATGAATGGCTTTGCTGTTTAGTGTTAAGTGCCTAAACTAGCTCTATTATATTTAGCTGGAAGGTCTGAAGAGCCTTGTCTCCATGTCTCCAATACAATGTCACATTCACGAGCCTGAGATGTGGAAAACCTCAACTTCCAGCCACCATCCAACATTTTCTCAGTCTGGTTATGTATTTATTTTTTTATTTTAACTCTAATTTATAATAACTACCTTAGTCTGAGGTTGTTTATTTTTGGATTTATGTGTAATTATTATCAGATGCTAATTGTGTTTATAGACTCTCGAGCTGACAGTGGGAGAGGAAATCAATGTGAAATGATCCAACACCTAATGAATAAAATGACATGTGAATGTTCAGCTGCTTTTGAAGCATCCTCGTGTCTTCATCACTAATCCTTTTGTGTTTCTGTGCTTTACAGATAATTGATGAGGAGGAAACACAGTTTATGACCAACTGCCCCCCTGCAGTGACAGAGAGCACCCCTCGCAGGCGCACCAGCATCCAGGTGTTTTGGACTGCTCCCCCTAGTGGCTCCGGCTGCGTTATGCTCAAGTATGTATTGTTCACAGTCCCTGATGCCTGCCCAATAAGGGCAGCTCCAATGCTTTGAGATAACACTACACCCTACTGATGGAGGATGAACTCATAAACTGCATGTTGGATAAATGGGGCCTTTTTCTTGGTGAAATGTAATTCATGATGTTTGATTCATGATGATGAGGTCTGGCAGTGTGAACAGGTAGCCTGTCCCCCTTCTACCTAATTCTTAAATGGCATTTTTTCATCCTGCACCCCTCCCTTGAGATCAGCGGATGATACAAGATACAAGTCAAACCAGTCTGTTATCAAAAACAGGGTAGATTTTATTTGTGATTTGCTTGCACTCACCATCTTTAAAGCATAATATAAACCTTTAGATGGATAAAGGTGTCTTTTTTCCTTACCTTTCTAGATGCCTCATGAATTTATTATTAAATGTTAATTCATCTTTTAGCAGGCTCTGTTGAGAGATGTGACTTTTTATAACTTATGTTGCTGGTAAAAAGGTTTTATTAATCTAAAAATAAATGGTATGCTTAGTTAACCAGCCATGGCAGTTTGGCAGTCTCCAGCTCCAGTATTAGTACACCTCTGACACAATGGCAAAGTCAATTTGACCTTGCTGGCCTCTGACAGTGGTGGGGGTGTTATACTGCTGGTCCATAGGGCTCAAAAGCAGGAATTTTTTTTCTTTAGGTCATTAGGTTTTATTCATCTTGCACATACTGTAATTCCATCAGGTCAGTAGGGAATTCTGTTGGTTGATGGACATTGAGTGATGGTTGAAAAAAAACAAACTTATTTTATGACAATGACTTATAGGAATAGGACAATATATCGCAGTTCAATATATCGCAATTCAATATATTGCGATACAAAATCATCACAAACTGTATCGCTTTGTCTAGCCACATATATCATGTGGCCTCCATACACCAGTGACCTCCTACTTTTTGTAAATAAGTACATAACATCAGTATATCTGGTTGTTCTTTACATAGTCTAACCAGCGCTGGAAAAGGAGAATAAGAGGAATAAAGTACAAGTATTCTGCAGCCAGTCATACATTGTTGTCACTGAATTTTTTTTTTTTGTATCGTTATTGAATCAAATTGTACACACCATATTGTGCATTTGATTATAGTAAGAAAAAGTCCCATCCCTACTGGATTGTGTTTGAATGAGATCTTTTGACATAAATGCCATTTTACCAGTGCATTATTTACTGTTTTTGTTACCCACTGCATGGTCTACATCTTTGTTTATGTGTACAATGAGATGATAAAAGGTTGCATTTTTTTAGTAATGCATGATTGCAACAGATGCATTTCCCTTTTCTATGTGTTTGTGCTTTTCCATTTTCCTTGTCCTCTTCAACATTTTCATGCCCTATCTTCTGAACTTTCCTTTACTTTGTGTCTCAGTCTTCTTTCTGCTCCTTGAGCTCTCCTCATTGTTTTGTCTTCACTGTGGTCAAGCTGTACTAAGCTGCTCTTCTTATAGACAACAATGGGTTGAAGGCAGAATTGTATCCACTTAAGCACATGGCTAGAGGAGAAAGTTGAAGATGTGACAAAGAGCAGAGCCTAGAATGTGATGCTTGAAAGTGCAGAGATGTAACTGTAATAAAAGTGCAGACAACAGCAGAGAGAGCGAGTGAGAAGTGTATAATTAAAAAAAAAAAAAACATGCCTTTGAAAAACATGCCTTGTGGCAGGTATTTACAGCCATTCTTCTGTGTACCTGGTCATCATCAAGATGACAAGGTTTTTGTAGACCTCTGTGCTGCATCCTAACAGAAGCATTAAAAAGTCTTATTGATTAAACAGGTAGAACTCTTGTAACTACTTGACAAGTACAGGACTTTTTAAATAAAAACTGTTCAGAGGGAGAGACACTCAGCTTACAACAGCAGAAAAACAAGCACGAAAGCACATATACAGTAGGTTAGTCCACAAATTACAGTATGTGCAGAAAGAAATGACATAAAAATGAGAAAAGCTTGCTATTATCATAGATTAGCTTAGGTTAATTTCATTGCTACCACATGCAGAGTAAATGAGCTCCGTCACTGTCTGTCAGTCTGCCTGGCTGTAAAATATCATGGTTATTTAAAATAACAACATCTGGTCTTCAAATTAGAAGCTTCTGTGATTTGCATGCTGTGCCAGGAACCGTGCTCTTTCTGAGTGGTTCGCTGCAGCATAATTGATGGGCAGTTGCTGTCTTTTAAGAGGAAAGACTGTGCCTGGTGGTTTGGTTCGATCTGAGGTTGGTCTGTGATGATAGGGTTAGGCAAAGATGCTCATTCAAACTCCTGTAGCTGTGACTTTGAAAGTCATGCCATTGAATCCAGTTATTTTCAGCCTTCTTACATGATAGAATCAAATCACGTCAAAGTTTCCTTCAGTGTGTCTTGTTTGCTAGTAACCAAATCTGGGATGCTTTGGGATCACTGTTGAGTGTGGATACAGGTGGAGCACCACATAGTAATGCTGGGTATGGTTAGTATAGCATTTGATCAAATTCAAAGCCAGTATCAAATCTTTTAAGTGTGTGTGTGTGTGTTTGTGTGTGTGTGTGTTTTAATCAGTCTAAAATGCCATATTTTTAGTAGAAACCTAATTAGTGTTAACACTCTACAAGCTGATAATGAGATGAGCAGCTGCAGATATGAAGTGTTAATTAAATATGTTTCACAGGTATAGCCTACTAAGTTTTACACTTAGTTTTTCATGAGCTACAATTAAGTTGATGAGCATAATGTATAAATATAATATGCCCAGAACTGTAACTGGGACATGCGCTGGGTCATTTCTTTTGAAAAACTCTTTGTTGGTCTTGTTGAACAACAAAAATGCAGTGTTCACTTACTGTTAGAAAAATAAAATAAAATCAAGTTTATTTATATAGTGCTTTTTAAAACCTCATGGTAACAAATGCAATGCAGACACCAGCTAAATGGCTAAAAATGGGAAGTTGCTACTTGAATGGGTTACTCTTTGCTAATGAAGAAACAAGGAGAGATGATTAGAGATGTTAGCCTGGGAGCTATCAGAATCCCACCCCAGTCAGACATGTAATGAATTTTGAATATTTTCAACTGCAAGAAGCCAGTGAAATGTCACTTTTTTTGTTTGTTACCCAATTATGTTTCTAAAACCTCTTGATTCAAAATAGTCAGAGTGGCTGCAAAATGCCTTGAAAATATAAAATGTATTTCAACTCTCCCTGTCTTTTCTTCTCTAATTGTATCGTGATTCTCGTGATTGTTGTTTACATAATATCAGATCTAAGCTTCCCCTCACAACAAGGCCTAAAAATGACAGATTTAGACTTTTTTTTTTTGCACTCTGTTCTAAATCATGTTTGACTTTTGATTGAAATTCAGGTCATCATTGCCCATATCAGGACAAAATCCTGCTTGATTTGTAGTTCTCTGATGACAAAAGGTGAAACTCTAACCTGGAGCCTTTGTTGCAGCTGAATCCTTCTGGATGGCTACATCCTGGTTGTTCCACAGAGCCAGACTAAGTCACATCATCATCATGTAATCCACATATTGCAGTCTCCATTGATGTTGCCTCTATCTTTTATCTTCCCATTTGTAGGTGGGAAGCAATTTATTTGTCATCTCCCTCTGGCTTGAGATATGCAGGGTAGTTTGATGTGGTTTGATGGGTTGTCTGAGTGAGACAGCGTATCAGTGATCCGATAAATGTCACAGCCACATGCAGCTGTCAGGGCCTGTTTATCTCCATCAGCACAATGGCAGGACAGATCAAGGAGAACTTCAGGAGACAATCGTCAAGCAGACCCATAGGAACTAAGTGGAAATGCATTTGTTTTTGTGCATTGTGGATGTATGTCTTGTCTTGAAGTTTCTTTTTGTAAGTTCTGGTTGTAGCGGGGAGGATAGGACAAAATTAACTAATTTAATCTCTGGTTGTAGTGGGATCTGATAAACTGAAATGAAACTTATAAATCTTTGGTTCTAAAAGGAGAAGATTTAACAAAATGATAATTTATTTTAGTTTATCATTTATCCTTATCTGCTTGATTGTGCAAATGGGAACATAGCCATAGAAAGACAAAATGTTGCCCTTTTTGCTTTTTCCTTCTTTCACACTCTCTATTGTCTCTTTTTGTTAAGTTGTTAAATACACACACACACACACGTTTATTTTTTCCAGGGACTTTGCCTTAACTTACATTAATTACCTGGAGACTTAACCTCAACCCTAATACCTAACCTTAGAATAAGTTGTCAGTGATCATTTGGTCCTCATGAGGAGGCTAAGCCCCCCCACAGTGTGAGTACAGTAGTACCAGGCTCACACACACACACACACACACACACACACACACACACACATGCAGACATTTAAATCTGTGAACTTTTGGGGTGATTGGGATTGGCTGTGGTGTGGATCCAGCAAAGTGAGATAGAATTTAAATTGGATGTTAAATAAGTATTACTCTCTTTGATTGTCTGGCCAGCCCAGGAAAGCAGGAGAGCGGTGAGGCAGAGTGCGCTCCTCTCTCTCTCTCAGGGAGATATGTGAAATTGGGGTGAGATTGAATTAAAGCATGAACAATTAGAGATGTGCCGGTGAGTTCGCTTTCCTTGAATCATTTCATCCACCTTATGAGAGGCCGATTTGGGCATACATCACACCTCACACGCTGTCATAATTTCATATATCTACCAGTATACACTCTGTACTAGTACATGTGAGACACAGTAATGATAGTATAAGGGAAAAATTATATTTTGTGACAATGAATTATAATGTGTATGAGTGAGACTGAAAATTCACCAAGACACAACTGATAGTGTATCTGTTAGAAACAGTGTGTGTGTGTGTGTGTGTGTGTGTGTGTGTGTGTGTGAATTAGTGAAATACTTGAAGAGTGGTGTACGGAGAATGTCATCAAATCTTTATTACAGATGTCCTTCTCATTTAGATAGTCTATCATATATCCATATATCTTTCATATGTTGTTCTGTTCACATACATCACTCTTCTCATTCTCTAACACATTATCACCTTCATCCATATGGTGTAACGGTACACAAAAATCAATGTTGGGTACATACCTTGGTTTTGAAGTCACAGTTCAGTTTGATTTTGGTACAGTGAGGAGTCATTTATTATGACGTTTTGTAAATAACAGCTTTTATTCTTTCATAAAAATTTAATAAAACAAAATATATACAAATAAAATAGAACACTGCTGCAAGCTATTAATAAGAACTTCAATAACCAGGAAAAGGCTGTGTAAATGATCAAGGCAGCTGTGTTTGTATTATGCTCATTTTTTCCCTTGCAGCAGTGAGATTCACATTCATATGGTGCTGTTTAAAAAAACTTAACAAGCTTTTGTTACCAAAAACATACCTGATCACCACTGAACAAACAAGTGGAGGACTGGAGTGCAACAAACAAACAAACAAATAAAATATCTTATTTGTTTGTCTTTGCCTTTTGCTGCATTTCACCATGAAGCTGAAACGTTTCCTAACAGGAGACCATAATGATGAGTGTGAGTTCTCTGGCTTCTCGTTTTCATTGGCCATGACATTCTTAGCCAGAGGATTGGCTAAGCTAAGCGTGCTGTGTGTTTATTGCACTGCAGTCCGGCACTTCATGTGTTCCCGTGGAACATGGGTGTGAAAAAAACTAGACAAGCCTACTATTAAAGATTGAATTTGGGATGCATGTGTAACTGAAACAGTTCGGTACAAATACCTGTACCTCTACGTCCCTAGGTGAGACCTAGTATGGTTTAGTCTAATCAGCTCATCATATACTGAGGCAGGCCTGGTTCTAGACTATCACAGATTGAAATGGAAGTTTAGCTGTTTGAAATTCTTCCTTCTTTTGTGGAAGACTGACCTTTTGCTCTCTGATCTTTTGGTGTTTTTCTTTCTGCCCATCTCTCACACACACCTGCTGTATATGTTAAGGGTAAATGAAGCTTAAAAATACAGAGAGAACAGACAGTGTTGTGTTAGTAGATGTGCGTCCATTTACACATCTGGTTCATGTCAGTGTAGTATTTCCCTATAAAGCTGGGAATTAAGTGAGATGAATAGCATTTGTGGGTTTAAAAGCAATCATGAATATCAGGGGGTCATTGGGACTAAACCTCCTGCTATGGACACAATATACACACAGCGCTGTCATAAAAGAGCAGAAAACAATCAGAGATTCACTCCACCCAGCTCACACTGCTCAGACACAAAAACTGCACCTACAGCCTCAGGCACAGCAGAGCGGACAGTATCGTCACACACAGAACAAGACTGTACAACAGCTTTTTCCCCACTGCAATAAGACTGATGACAAATACAAAAATGTGAAAAATGTGCAAAAACACCTTATTACCTCACTAAGTAAAATATGTGAAATGCCATGTGCATTATTTGAAATTCACCATCTTGTTTATTTTATTTTTGTATTCATGTTTTTGATGTACTATTTCATTCCTCTAACTATTTTTAGACTAGGTGTTCTTTTTCTGGCATTTAACTCTTTACTTGACTCCAAGAGAGCCCTGCACAAGAATTCCTATATGCCTAGACTGTCTGTTTATGCATAAATGGCAAATAAAAATATTGAATAGCAAATTTCCCTTGTTTGCTAGGTTAATGTGCATTTTCTGTCACCTTGTCACTGTGTGAGGGAACTGTTGAGTGATCAGCTCAGCTCAACATAGACGACAAAGCTAAGTTTTTTCGGACACTCCAGAATAAATAGTATCCGGACAGTCCAGCTGGACGAGGCCCACCTGGATCAGACTTTACATCCAGCAGCTTATTGTTGGATTTTATCCCCATGGAAACCTTCCTGCAGCCACAGCTGATGCCTGGAGGCTTGTTTTCTGTTGCTGTTTTTTTTAGTCCACTGGCCTCTGAAAAGGTTAGTTTGTGGCTGATTTACATGTCAAGGCCCCTCTCAGACCGATGTTCCCCACCACCCTGAGAAACCAGTGTCTTAGACAGCTCAATCTAGAAAAGGTCCCCTCTGTCAGGCCTCACAATCTGGGGAGCATTACTGTTGGCCTGTCAATCAGTTCTTATCGACACCATGCATAGTCTAGTCTATAGTATTTTTGTGCAAGTCTGTGTTCTTACAAACTGCCTTAGGGGTTTTCTTTAATGCAAAATTTCTCTTTTTCTCTTTCAGTGTTCCCTTCAGCTTTTGAGCCTCTCATTTCTGTGTATATTTTAATGCTGATGCATGCTTTTTGTTATCTTTGTATGAGGCATTGAATGCCTCCCTCTGAAAGAGCCAGATTTAGCAATGTCCCTGTGTGTTCAGATACCTGCTTTTAGGAGCCTTCAGAAAAAACAGGAAGATGATTATGAATAACTCTGCACCTGTTCTATCTGCAAAAATCCACTGTTCAGATTCTTCTCAGATCTTAAAGCCAAGATTTTCCACATTTCCTGCTGTCTGTTGTCTTCTTTCGTTTTAAAACCTCACAGCTTTGCCAAATGTTTTTCATCTTTTCCAGTCTTTTCTTGTTGTGACATTCACTCTTATGCCTGTATTTGAACATGGTGTTGCTTTCAACAAACTCCAGTCCTCACTGCCTCCATCTCTTCTTGTTCTCTCTGTGTAGGGTAAGCATTGTGCAAAAGAGGATAATCTATTTCCAGGATGAAGGCTCACTCACCAAGCGAATGTGTGAGAAAGGTAGGCTTCTTATTGGCTTGGAATAAATAATTAACCACGAATTTCATGTTCCTTCAGTCTCCTTCCTGATAGTCTCTCTTTTGTCTGTCTTCTTTTACTTTTTTCCTTTTATTCCTATTTTGATGCAGCGACATTTCTCTCTGCTGTTATGCTTTAGTATGTGAATGGTTTTAAATGTGTGACCCGCTGGCTATGCATGACACTGGATGCCACACTGAGTGACACTTCATTCTACCCACCTTCCATTCAGCTCCTCACTTATCTCCTGTATGATGGGCATCATTCTCATCTGTTCCTTATACTAATGAGCAATCTCTTCATGCCTATCTGATGGTCCGTGTTTCTGTCTCTGGCTCTTTTTTCCTCGCATTTCTGTACAGAATTCGCATATGGAGATGTTACAGATAAACCTCTCCTCGACTGCTGTGCCTGTGGAACAGCGAAGTACAGAGTCACCTTCTATGGGAACTGGTCAGAGAAGATTCATCCCAAAGACTATCCCCGTAAGCACAAACTTGTACTGTATGATTTTTTTTTTTTTTTAATCTTACCTCAGCTTGATCACGCATTTTAAGAGCAAGTCTGCTGATATACAAATTTTACTGTTATAATATCCCATGAAAAATGAGCACCACCTTTGAACTGGCTGACATGTGCCTTGATTATGATGAACACTTTAATTTATTTTCAGTTGAATGCACATAAATTGTCCTGCTGCTATAAATATTCACTAGCTCGCCACATTTGAGCCTGAAAATACAGATACACCATTTGCCTCTCTTTGAATAACTTTTGCTTAAAATGAGATTCACTCTCACACACGTATACACAAACACACCTTGCAAATACATGAACTTAAGAAGACAGGGTAAGTGGTGTGGCTCCTCTACAGTTGGAGCCATATCCTGGGTAACTGTTATAACATTACACATGATGGGTGACAAAATAAAGGAAAAACCTGAATAAATGAGCAGTCTATTCCAGGATGACAGTGCCCCCATCCATAGGACACAAGGTGCCACCTAATGGTTTGATATAGATGAACATGATGTAGGTCATATGCTGTGGCCTTCACAGTCACCAGATTTCAGTTGAACAGCTATCGGCTACCGCTGTCATCAATAAACCAAATGAGGTAATAACTTCTGGAAGAATGGTGTTCATCCCCAGGAGAGTTCAGAGACTTGTAGAATCAATGTAAAGGTGCACTGAAGCTGTTCTGGTGGCACTTGGTGGCCCAGCACCTTACCGAGACACGTCTGTACCATTAAATGTCATCCTTCTATTTTTAAACACATATCTTTCGAGTGCAGGAACTCTTTGACGACACACATTATGAGACAAGAAATTTGCTGTAAAATAGGCCAACATGACTTTTTTTTTTAACTGCTGACATGATAACCTTGACAGTTCTATTTTCTTCTTCCCTTCTGTCCCCATTGTGAGTCACACATGGCTATTCAACATGTGACGGCAGCTTACTCGGACACAGGGAGGCAGCTGACAGTGGCCTGGTTGCCACCAAAAATATTTGATGGGATTAATGGGAGAGAAAGAAAGAAAAATGAAGAGGGCAAAAGAGTAACAGTTATGTGTTTTCTAAATAATGAAGTACCCCATGATTGTCAATGTCCATTAACACAATGGAAGCAGTATTCTATGCTGTCCAGACCAAAAAAACATCACCAACACAACGGGTCCTTAGACTAGCCAGCAGCTTTTTCTTCTTGGCAGAATATGAAGTAGTTTCATATGAGTTCATATGAGGCACATAATACTTGGTGTGTTCACAAACGCAATGAGATTTGTCATTGCTTTGCAGTAGACAAAATTTACTTTCAACTAACAGAGCTACATTCTGGTTGGTCTTCTTTTAAGTCAGAACATTCACATCATTTATTCACATTGTTGTTTAACTGTCCAATCAGTTTATGGTATGTTCATTGTCCCATATAAATAAAGAACAAAATAACATAAAAAAGAGTGAAATCAACAGTGCAACTTATTTGTGAATAACCAGTTAAAGACATCAAGTTTGAAAGTACAAGGGTGAAAGCAAGTTGGATGGAGGTTTTTGTGGAATGCTTGTGTGCATTCTGGAGAGTCTTCTTATTATGTTGCAGAGTTTGTCACAAATAAGAAAAGTCCTGACAGGTTTACAGTGCACCAATGAACATGGAATGTTGGAATATGAAACTGAAAGATTTAGACCAGATGCTTAGGATGGATGGAGGCTGAGGAAGAAGAGCTTCCTCAGCAGATGTTGAAGTTTTAGAGGATCATCTTGGCTCTCTGCTCCTTTGTTGTTGTTGTTGTTGTTGTTTCTTTGTTTTTTCCTCCTCTGTCCTTTAGATTATAGTAGGAAACTTTATAAACTGCTGTTCAAACTGCTAAGAAGATGCATTCTAGTGGTCTGCCTGCCTTCTGGGTTGTTGGCACTTGACTGTGAAGGACCTGAAGGTTCAAAGGTGGCAGGATCAGTGTTCTGGATTAATAGTCCTGCTAAAGATGAGGACTCCTTATCTCGAGCGTGGTGTTGGCAGGTCACTCCAAGTCAGAAGTTTTGGTTTGTTTTGTGCTGAGTTGTTATCCAGCATTCCTTGGGGGGTTTGAATGAAGCACTGATTCTGTCGTCTGCTTTAAAACTTGCAAGGAACCGCTTCTGCACCAGCAATGCACCAGATAATAGAATCAAACTGTACAATGAGGCCAGAGGGGATAGTTGTATCCTTATAAGGCTCCAAATTCTCAACACAGCCATGAAAAATTGGGGCAGGTCAATAATAGGCAGTTAGCAGCACATAATATGCTCTATTTCTGTCTATGGTATCTTATAACAACATTTTCACAAATTGGACCCTAGCCACAATACTGGACATATACACTAATCCCTGCCAAAGCTGCATTAAAAAGGAGGTGACTGCCTCCAAGATTTACCCACCTCAAAACTAATATTTCCTCAGCCTTAGGTGAAAGTACTTGATGAATATGAATATAAAATTGCTAACCGGAGCCATAATTTTCAAGCTATTTACTTATTGCCAATGACTCCCTGACTGCTAGGGCCAGCCATTTATGAAAGCCTGGGGCACAAATGGCTTTAAAATTGCATAAAGAGCCTGCATCAACAAAAATATTAAACAACTAATGTGTTTGAAATAATCTTGACAATTGAGACAAAATGGATTAATGGCTTTGTAAGCCAGGAAATGCCATCTTGTGCTTTTGGGATTTTTAACATTTCATAAAGTTTCTTCCATGCTTACAAGGTCAGAAATGATGTTTACGATTAAAAGAAATAGTTTTGGTTGTGGGGGGGTGGGGGTCTCACTAGATGCAAAACACAAACGTCTCAAACACCAGATAAATATAATGTACCTGGAACACAATAAGAAGATTAGGCTCAAAGATATAACACTGGCATTGCTAATCCGAGTTCCTCAGGCAAGTTGTTCCAAATCTTGGTCTTTATTGCTCTTTAACTGGGACACCATAAGAGTTGCAAGAGCTCTGGAGGCCAAGTTATGTAAGGTTCATTGTCAAAGTAATCAGTAAAATCAGAGCCAGCAGTGATAATATGCTAAAAACCGGTTCTTAATGGAAAAAAAAACAACACTTTTTTAGGTTGCGGTTGAGTGGGTCCACTTTAATCAGTTCACTTGGCTGATTTGAAGTGTGTAATCATCTAAAGAATAGGAGATGTCTTCTATTGTGGCATCAAATTATGGTTTCTTCAACAATTCTTGACAGTAGCACCTGATGGCCGAGAAATATATTGGTTGCTGAGGGGTTACATCTGCCCGATAAATTAAATGGCAGCCAGTTCACTTCCATGGGCCAATACCTGTTGTCACAAACATTCAGAATTTAGTGAAATACAATTTTGCAGAAGTAAAAAGTGAAAAAAAAACCATATGAATGTAGTCCAACATTTAACATTTGCCAACTATTAAATGTTCCATTACAGGAATACTGCAAACGCAGGGATTAGATTATGGAAGAGAGAGTCTTTGATAAGATTCACACTGGGAACGCATACAAATTCAGAGAGCTGTGACAGAGTTGTTTGCTGCTCTGCTGTACAAAAAAAAAATTTATAACTTGAAACAAAATGGAAGAAAAGCTGACTGGGGGTTTTGGCTTGCTAATTCAGAGTCTGATTCAAATCTCTGACCACCTAACTTTTCTCTGGTTGAATTCTGTGAACCTGCAGATAAATATGAAAACTGAATGTACTTAACAGATATGTACTTCCAAGGCAAAATAAAGGTGACGTACAAAACTTTTAGATATGCCTCTTTGCTTTATCAACTCTCTGATGTGATTATTAGATATATTGTCGTCTAATACTGAATAACAGTGTTATAATAAATCTGTGTCAAGTCTGGAGTCAGTTAGGTATAAATTGTGAATCAGGTCCAAACTCTGTTTATGTGGGACTTGAGGACAAGTCACCAGCTCAAGGGCCCAGCTCTGGTTCACACGTCAACACACCCTCAGAACCACAAATTTATGAGAGGCCAGGTTCTGTCAACCATTTTATGTGTGAATGAACTGTAAAAGGATGACTTACTGCAGATTTTATTTAGGGTGTAAAGATGATATCCAGACCTCTGACCTATTTGATTGAACTGCACCTTGACTAAATAGGTGTTATAATAGTGCTCAGACAGATGGTGAAGTTTATCATGTAAAAAATTTCATGATGTACGACAATGATAATCTTTCATCTTGATGAGTAGCTCTCGAGGGCAACTGAATTTTATGTCTTCAAAACCGGGGAGCTTATATTTTATGTTGATTACGGCTGTAAAATCATCATTGTACCCTCAGGGTGATGAACCTGAATGCCACTCCAGTTCACATGCATAATAACATGTTAGGCAGGGGGATAATATGGCAATAAGGGGGAAATAATGAGAGGCAACCAGTTTCTGTGCTGTTGAGATAGACAGACATATCAGACCACCAAGGACCCACAAAGAAATAGTTAGTATGCACAGAAATGACTTGTGGTTGAGTGGGTCCACTTTAATCAGTTCACTTGGCTGATTTGAAGTGTGTAATCATCTAAAGAATAAGCGGTGTCTTCTATTGTGGCATCAAATTGTTCTTTTCAACAATCCCTGACAGTAGCACTTGATAACTGAGTAATATATTGGTTGCTGAGGGGTTACATCTGCCTGATGAATTAAACGGCAGCCAGTTCACTTCCATGGCCCAATTAATATTCAATAAACAGCTGTACTCTTTGCCTTACTATGCCGTACAACAGTGGAACCTATGGCAGGGCTTCCCACTGTCTCTAAGCTACTGTAATTGATTGTTTCAGTCTCTGCTATCATCGCGTATGGATCATCGTAGATAAGGCCACTGCTGCATTATCTATGTGCTTACAGGCGTTAGGCAGACATGCTGTAGAGCTCCACTAGACCTGCTTCTGTGTGTCACTTTGGCACACACACCTTTGTTCAGAGCAGAGAGAGAATTATGAGGGGCATAAAACTTAGTAATACACTGTAGGTGGTTTTGAGCAACAAGGAAGAATTTCTGCACTGAATCACATCAGTGTTCATTATGAAGATTATACTGCATAAAAAGAGTTGTTTTGACAGTAAGCCTGACTGCTGGACCAATCAACTGATAGGTAATTGCTGCTAGCATTGCAAGAAGGGCAAACAATTATTTGCTATTTGAAAGATGCTGAGATAATGTAACCTTGGAAAACAGCCTGAGAGTGTCTAACTAATGAAATGTTTTGTTGTCTTATTTCAACAGGTCGTGCCAATCACTGGTCAGCCATCATTGGTGCGTCCCATTCTAAGAACTACGTGCTGTGGGAATATGGTGGCTTTGCCAGCGAAGGCGTGAAACAGGTGGCTGAACTAGGCTCCCCTGTCAAAATGGAGGAGGAGATCAGACAGAAGGTAGGATTTTCCAACAATAGGTGATAACTGACATGCAGTGCATTTTGTATAAAGGAGAGTGGAATCATTGGTACTAGTGTTTGGCAAAGAAAATGGGTCACGGTATATAAATGCATGAGTTTATTGACACAAATATTTCGCTTGCTTTGTTTTTTTATTTATTTATTTATTTATTTTTTTTTTGCCTTGACTAATACTAGTAAGAAATGAGTTGCATAACACCACAGGGGCCTCAGAGGATGTTCCAGGGTATGCACACCTGTGCACAACATGGAATGAACTGCTTTGACGTTGCTGTTCTGCTTGATTAGTGCTTTCAAGCATCTATGCTGTTCTTAGCCTCCTGCTACATCTACTGTGTACACTTAAAGACAAAAGATCTGGAAAGAAGTAAATGGACTGTATTTATATAGCGCATTTTTCAACATTGGCACAAGTGTCCACTTGGACTCGATGATGAACTGATTAAATTTTGGAGGTCAAAGATCAATGTCAGTTACCTCACATCCGTCCCATTCCCCTGAATATGACTGGTTGGTTGGAGGCATACAACCACAAAGCTTTAATTCTACTTTTTGTTTTATCTATCTATTTATTTGGTTTGGTTTCTTGTATTCCACATCTTGTGTTCTTTCTCCCTCCTTGACCTCTCTTTATGTTTTTCCACAGAAACTAGGTATATCTTTCCTCTTTTCTTCTTCTCCATGGCTGTCTCTCTCAGTCTTAAAATAACCCATTCTGGCAGACCAGATGGTCCTACAGAGTGCTTATTGGTGGCTAATATTGAAGACCTGGAGTCACAGCAAATAATGAGAGCATAGTGTGAGCAATGGGGTCTCGTGTCATTGCTGCCTTCTCACTACTATTACAGTACACTCTTTGTTTCATATTATTCTCTTGGATTATTAGATGGAGTTTTTTAGTGATCAGAGCGATAAGGCACTAGATTTGATCGACGAGTACAGTGGGTCTGTGTTAAAACAAACACCGGTTTAATAAGATAGTTATGAATGTTATTATATTTGCTGCTTACAATGAGTTTTTTCTCAATACTCTGTACATGGCTTAAGTCATGGTTGAAAAAAAAAAAACTGGACTTAGATTTCCAGGTTGAACACGTTTCACCTCTCATCCAAGAGGCTTCATCAGTTCTGCCCGACTGGTGTTGAGCCGGAGATGTTTATCCCCCTCACTGGAGTTTCAGTCCTTTGAGGGCCAACTATGTCCCCTAACGACTGAGTCATTATAGCCCAGTATCGGTGAGAGTCGTTACTTGTCTTTGAATCCTCCCCTGTGGACCGATGCCTGTTGAGAGGTGAAACACCTTCGACCTTAAAACCTAGTCCAGTTGATTTTTTCTATGTTTTTTTTCCAGCTTACTATGACCTGGATGACTGAGAATCTGCAAAGACTTAAGTCATGGCATTTATATTTGTTTTAGTATTTTTGTTGCCTGTGTGTGTTATATGTGGACATACAGTGATGGTACTGTAGATAGGTGATTGCACTGACCTTTTGTCATGTAGTTTTGCCTGACAAGAAATATGGGTTGTCTGTGGTTAATGTTCTCAACCTCTTTGATATCTGGAAGCTAAAAACGCTTTGTGTGTCCTAGCGCACATGTTCATTGTATCCACTTCAGCGAGTACAACACAGAGGGGTCTGTTCATGCCCTTGAGGTAAAAAGGCTGGGTGAAGGAGGCTCTCTCTTTTGAGCCATGCAGTGCTTCTTGGTAAATGCTGACACTAACAGAAAGTTCATTCGCTTTTTGTCAGGTAGGGTGTCAAGGAGAGCCGCTAGTGATGAATGCAAAATTGATATTCGTAGCCAGGCCAGCCAGCCAAGGGATGCACTGATCAGACTGTTCATACAAAGTTTTATTTGCAGAGCCAAGCCCCCATATAGACTACACAAATGTGTGCACACACACAGCACTTTTGCTGTTCATGTCAATGCAGAGTGTGATGGCTCTCTTTTATATCTGAATTTGTCACCCCTTTAGAGCTGGGACAGGAGTGTGCTATACCATTTGTCTAGCTACTATTACTAATTGGATGGGAAATGGAAACAATTTTACATGCGCTCTAGAAATAAGTAAATCTTTAGAAATGGAGATTTCTTTGAATTTCCCTTTTAAAAGATTATTAGTATGTATGTTAAAATAAGGACATGACATGTACAATTTGCTAAATTAATTTGTCCGCTCCTGCTCTTTTCAGTCCTTTCCATGTGGTAATAAAAATATGATTACATGTAAGAGCCTTCTCAAACACAGTCTTCACTGCACACAAGCAATACTGTGCCACATCACACTGAAATGGTTAGAGTTTATAGGTGTGACCGTGTGACCAAGGGCGACAGTGGTGCGGTGGGTAGAGCAGACGTCTCCCAACCGGAAGGTTGAAGGTTAGAATCTCGGTGCCTGCCGTCCACATGTAGAAGTGTCATTAGGCAAGACACTGAATCCCCAAATTGCCCGTGATGGCGGCGCGTATGCACGCAGCAGCACGAGGCCCTCGGCTCTAAAAAAAAATTTTGTTGTACTGTATGTGTCACAATGTTACAAGGACAATAAAATAAAGCTAAAAAAAACTTATTTCACTTTTAGGAATGCATTGAAAAGCATAATTGCAATTGCCAGTAGAGCAGTGATCAGGCCACATACTGTATTTATGTTTCAACCTGACCCATGCCCAATAGTGTGGCGTCTCACCCGGCCCAGACCCGACAATCTTATAGTATATAATGTCCGAACCCGAGCCTGATGCAGTTGAGTTTGTACGGTGTTTTCCCCCTTATCATTAAACGATGCAGACGTTTGAGTGATCCACTCATCTAGCCTAAAGTTTGACCCCGAACCCAACCTGAACATAATTTCTGAATTCCTGTCTGAACCCTGTGGTACCAATCGGTCCTGTTGGTTTAGTGCATACAGTAGTGTGAGAATGTGAGGTTTTCTTTCTTACAACTTGCCTTGCCAGACTGTAAACAGATGTGGAGAAATGTTTCATCTGCCAAGTACAATGTCTTATTAAAAGACTTGGCAGTGCAGACGTGCAGCCTGAGTCTGTTGTTGTTGTCCCTCCTTTCATGTCTGAGATGATTTGTATATGCATCCAGTCATTACAGAAGCTCAATGTGTCACTAATGAGAAGTTTAATGAGACTTACTCTATGGACCAGCAACCAGGGCCAAGGCCTCAGACAGATTATGAAATCTCCCTATTTCCTCTCACAGCATGGGGCGTTTTTCATTATTGCACAGTACGAACAGTGACGGAATCCTCTATTATCCTCAGCTCCACAGCTGTGTCACAGAGCAAGAACAACACAACCCAGGCTGCAGCCAAAAAGAGACATTGCAGATTATCCATCCATTATTTACACCACCTATTCCGGAATAGGGTCACAGTGAGGCTGGAGCCAATCCTAGCCGACGCTAGGCGAGAGGCAGGGCACACCCCGGACAGGTCACCGGTCCGTCACAGGCACTGCAGATTAATGGCATTCAATGCAAATCTGTGTCACTTCATATAGCTGTGGTCCTTATTTTATTGTCTGGTAAAGTTTTATTTTTACAAGAATACATGTGCAGATGATACTCTTATGGATCATCCAGGTGATGCCTGGGAAACCTCTAGATTCATTTTTGAATGTAAGAAGTCAGTGCAGGATATTTCTTAGCAGCATTCATACTTGTATTCTATCACAGTCCAATTACCCAGTTAATGAAAGCTCTTTTACAGTCAAGCTGACTCACAGCTGACTTGCACATTTAGTTTGCATGATGAGCAAAACAACAACAGGTATTAAAATAAAATAGCAGCTTGTTGTTAATATTTCTCCCCCTGTTCCTCTTTCTGTGCAACTTAAAAGGATTCAAATTATAATTTTGCAGATCAGTTGTGTTGAGAACAATAAGGTCTGCCATCTGTAGGTGGGAGGCCTGCAGTTAGCAGCGTGGGCAGAGAATAATAAATGTGCAGGTTCCTTTGGGTCTTTGCCTCTCATTGAATGAGCAGGTGTATGCATTTGTTTCTTTTTGTATACAGAGAATTACATGACAGCTACTTTGAATGCACTGAAATCTGTTCTTCCCACATGTCTTTTGGTATACCTTTAAAAACCTCTGCCAAGGAGGTTATGTTTTTGGTTCCGTGTGTGCGTGTGATGGCTAGCTAGATTACGGATAAATGGCTGGATGGATCATCAGCGTACTTGGTACACACACAGGTGGGGACCAACCCTAGAGGTGCTGTGAGACTGTGTGCTTTTGCCATAACTGGGTTTCATTCTTGTCACTGTTGAACCAACAACACACTTCACTTCTTTCCAAGACACAGTGTTGTTATGTTCTTGCTCCAAACTGGTGCACTCCATTCATTCCGGTGAGTGCACAGTTCAGCAACTAACACAGTTCAAACTCACACACATCCCCTACATAAACACTTAGTAGTTGACATTTGGATAATGAGCAATTGTGAAATTTCTTTTTTCTGCTGCACAGTCCTCTTATAAAACCTGTATAAGGTCAGCATATTAGAAAAGACTGAATGATTCAGGCCAAGTTATTTTCTTGCATCATCAGTTTTGTAATGTCTTTTTAAGATCCAGTCTTTAATCATACAGCGAGAGGTGAAACTTTTTTCACCTTGATGTCATTCAAAATTGGTGTTTCATCCCCCACATTTGATTAATTCCTGGGCCAACTAATTATCTTGTGTCTGGGTTTAGACCTGGTGGTCCCCTCAGCATGCATTCATGTATAACGCATCAATGAAATTCACTTCTTTTTATGTTCCATGAAAGAGGTCTAGTTTGTGATTAATCAGAATACCCACTAAGAAAATACACCCCATGTCTGAATAACAGTTGTGGAAAAGTGTTTAAAGAGACAATATACTCATTGTGCTGTATTTAAGGTTGTATGTAGTCACTGAAATAGGCGGATTAGTGGCTTGGGTAACGGAGTCAAGTTGTATAGGGCTGCAGGTTTAAAT